TTAATTAGTTACATTGGAGTTACTTTAAAATAAAGTTAGTTTTTATAAAATAATAAATTTTTCGGGTAATATTTAACAGTCTTTAAAGAAACCAATTTGGACTCCACCAAAGTGGGCATTTGCTCCAATATGGTCAACTCTGTATTGCACAATGGGGTATTCTTCATATTTAGTATGGAGAGATGGTGGTGGTTTTAAAGAGGCAATAATACCACTTTCTATTTACGGAACTAATTTACTACTAAATTGGTCTTGGACACCAATATTCTTTGGAATGCACAAGATAAAATGGGTATTTTGATAGAAATAAACATGTCACCTCCTTTTAATTACATTCCTAATCACTTGCTCTTATGCTTTTAGGCTTTGTATGAAATTGTTTTATTATGGGGAAGCACTGTAGCAGTGGGTGTGGCATTTTACAATGTGAATCCACTTGCCGGCTGTTTGATGATTCCATATGTAGCATGGACTTCACTTGCTACAGCACTCAATTATGTCATTTACAGGGATAACAAACCAAGCATAGAACCTGCTCCAGAAGAAAAAAAGGAATAACATACCTGATGATACCTCTGTAGCAAACAATATTAATGTAGATTACCTAAAGAAAACAATCCTTGGCGCTTTTTTTACAGTTATTGTATCACCATTATTTAATAAAAAATGTGTCCTGCATTGAACGCACAATGCTATTAATATACACATGTTTATTGTTTGATATGAAATAAAGGTTAGTTAATCAACAAAAAAAATCACTTTCGTACTCTTCCATGGAGTAGTCTACCCTATTCTGTGTAGATCTAACAAACTTTACTATATACGTTATTTTATATTTGCTTCTTTCTACAATGTCACCTTTGTAGCGTGATTGTAATGATCAATGAATTAACAGTTTTTATACAGAATAGGGCAGAATATCTTACAGAAAAGAGGTATCAAGTACGATACAGGTTTGGGCGGGTCGCTGCACTCTGCTGCCATTTTTCACAAGCGCTATGTAGGATCGGTTGCATAAATGTAACCTTGTTGTTGAAGTACGTACAAGCGTTTTTCAACAGCGTCTTTATCTGAAATGTAAAGAAAATTTTAATAGCATAATATTTTAAATAATATGTCCAGAATAGGAATATAGTTTTGCACCAAGGATAATGCATTTGTTAAATAAAAATGAATTACATTTAATAAGGAGAGCTCTATCTGGACTGTGACTGACATGTTGTGACAGAGAATGCAGCAATATCTGCGCTGTATGATATCGTTGGAAACATTCTGCAGGATTACCGAATAATTCGTCGAGTGCTGCTGACTGACACTGTTAGAAAAAAAGAATTACTCAGGAATACATGTATACACTTATTTTATGCATAAAAAAAATAAGTTAACTATATACTTACCATATGAATGGCATGGTTATAGAGCATTTTGTCCGCAGTAGCGCCTGTCTGATGAAGAAGTCCTGCGCTATTGAGCTGTTTGCATTCTGTGAGGCACATTCTGAATTTTTCATTCATTGTATTCACAACTGAAATATAATCAAATTTTGATAACGTTGAATTTAATGTATATCAATCGTTCACGATTGTGGTCTGCATTAATACATTACAATTTACCTTCTTTAACGTTGGCCGTTGGTTGTAACCTACCAGCCTTGAGTTGTTGAGTTGCAAGACTTAATCCAGAACTGAGCCACTGAAGAGCTCGAACAAGTAGAATTACTTGTTCAGCTCTTCTTCTCGTTGCAGCATTACTTGCTTGTTCAATACCGCCCAATGGCGCCCCCAAGGGACCTGCTCTTGTTCTTGCTACTTCACACACACAATCGCACAGTGCAACAACAAAGTTTAACTTCGCTAATATTTCGTTGTGTTCTCGTTCCAAAAGCGTTTCCTCTGGGAGTTCAGGTGCGATGAACGTTAATGGACGTTCATCTGTTATTGTAGAATTCGCTTCTGGCAGAAGATTTTGGAAACTACCTGCCTCTGTAAATTTGATATAAAGTAACATAAAACAAATTGCCATTCGATAATTTTTCATTTGTTCAAATGAAAAATACAAGTTAGGAATAATATGAATTCCATACCAGATATTTCAGGAAGGGTAACAGCCCTAGTACCAAAAGGAATAACCGGCGAGTGCCTCAACGTGTTGTTATTATCCTGAAATGCTCTCGACGTAGGAGAACCCAATACTGCTAGTGGTCCTGTTAACAATGGCGAGGATGCACTATTATTCCCAGTGGAACGCCGTAATGGTGACGTTCCACTAGAAGTATGTGAATGCCTTGCAACAGGACTGACTTGCCATGTATTCGGCGGCGGTGGTGTTTCACTTAATCTGAAAATTACCCCAATTAAGTAACATTATTTATAAAAT